CGTTTCCTTGTTTTTTTTTTTTTTTTTTTTTTTTCCAAACCAATGTTCTGTATACAAGCCAGGAAACGGGCCCGGCGTCCCTTACAAAAAGGATGAGTGGGCTACCCCATCGAGCGTGGCATCACCGGCCAGGTTCGAGAGGGTGTCCACTGTGGCTGCTATTCAAAAAGATGTCCTCCGTAGTAAAAAGCAAAAGAAAAAAACGTACTGTCCTCCGAAGTAAAAACAAAAGAGAAAACATACTTTCCAAATCCCATCAGTCCTAGTAGAGCACCGTCGAGCCGGCGAACTGATCTGAGTACTAGTAAAAATTCGTACTAACTAAGTCCTACCAAGTCCTACTCAGTCCTACTGAAGTTCCAATCCTTTAAAACTGTATAGGTATCTCAAAGAAAAAAGGATGAGAACACCAACTGCGGTGGTTGCTGTTGCCTATCCTGAATGCGAAACAAATCCGGGAACCTTTGCCAATGCTGCAGAAACTGCCTCAGGGGTCTCGGTGCATATTCCCTGTTCTGCACTCTCATGGACCAATCGGTGGCCACCATCTGTTTGATCGAAAATTTCACTTCCGCACGAATCATAGGCGGAGTCAGTCTCTCCCCCCTCCTGATTGCTGAGTTCCGCAATGTCCACAAGGTCCAGAGGATGGCTCCCCTCAAGCACTCCTCCGGGTACGCAAGGGGGTCCTTCCCATTTGGTCTCCGGGCCACTGCACCAAGTAACACATACTCGTCGCCCCATCTAGTGCCATGGTGGGGGACAGGCACCGTTCCCGATCTCCACCATTCCCATAGCTGCCTTGAGAGCTCGCAATGCAGACACATGTGTTGCAAATCCTCAATCCTCATTCCTGAGCATAGAATGCATAGCGGGCTGGCCTTGGCTGTTCTTCTTGCACACCATTGTGCTGTCGGAACAGCCAAATGTGCCATCAGCCAATGAAAGCTCGCCTGTTTTACCACTGGCAGGTCCATCAACAATTTCCAGTAACCCGAGAAACTTTGTGAGAGTCTGGGAAGAGAGTCCTGGATCCATTGTGTAGACATCCATCTTTTGGCTACCACCCAATTCACATCCACCTTCTGATGTGCGAGGCGGTACCCAAGCTTCGTTGTGTATTGAATCTATTGATACAGCGGGACAATTTTGTGCTGCCTTGTGTCAGCAGTCCATCCCCAATCTCTGGGGTCCAACGGTAGCTGGTAAGAAGGCACTGCCAGGGCAAAAGGGCGCACATAATCTGAATAATCCAATACACAGACCGGTGTAAGGTGTGACTGTAAGGTCTGACAACTGCGGGAGCGGAAGAGGTTGCTGAGCTTCCACCAGCGGGGGGCCCAAAGAATGCATTGCTTGCTGCGTCTCCCGTGTCGTTGCTTCCATATGTGTGGCATGCACCTGTTCGATTTTCCACAGGTTCATCGGACTGTGGTTTTCTGTTTTCTTGTACCAGCATCCTGGGTACAGAGCGAGGCCATTCCTGAGACACTGGATCCAGCGCTCCGGTGTCGCCTGCTGGAGGAGGGTGAGGTGCTCTCTCTGGTGCCACAACCCAGTGAGAGTATGTGCAAGTGTTTCAAACGGTTTCCAGTCCTTCTCGTGAATATCCCAGATATCTTGCAATGTTCCCAGTCCTCTAGCCATCCAAGAATCCCCGAATGCCCCCCTGCCTAAGCAAGGGAAGGGGACCCCTGCGTGAGTGAGAATCGATGGGTTATCAAACAATGGTTGAGTGAGAATTCTGTCTGCCGTCATGGGAGGGGGTATCGGCAAAGGCCTACATTTTGTCCATGCCTTCACTATCCCCGCCCAAATGCCTTGTGGCAGATGCTTTCTCAAGTAAGCCGGGTTTTGAATTGCTATCCAGAGACACCGCAGATCTGTCCAATCCCAGGCTGTGCATAATGTATACTCCGCAAATTGTCTCCAAGGCACAAATGGTCCTTGCAAAATCGCCCAGGGAACCCATCTAGATAACAACGCCGTGATTTGGCTGGCCGGATCCAAAATTGCCAGTCCTCCTGCTCTTTTCGGCTGTGTCACAACTTCCCAGGCTACCTTTGGCAGAAAAGCGGTTGTGGAGATGTCCTCTTTCCAAAGGTAGTGGGTAGCGAGAGTTTTAACGAGTCGCTGAGCCGGGTCATCGAGTTGGTGAAGCGCTCTTTGATACCAGATGTCGAAAACACTGCGTTGTTCAAAACTAACGACCGACCGAACAAACTAACCCCTTTCTGCCTCACCCATGGGGCGAGTGCTTTCTTTACTGTTTCTACTGCAGTCGATGCTTCTGTCATCAACTCTGGCATAAAAGAAACTCGGTGACCCAGTAATCGCTCGTGCTGTGCTGGCGTGACTATTCGTAATCCCCAATTTTGTGGTGGCAGGGCCTGCGGCGGGATCAGCAAAGATGATTTCTCCCAGTTCACTCTTGCCTGTGAAACTTGACGGAAAAGGGAGATCGTGATTTTTAGTGCTTGAAATGCTTCATCTTGGACCGGTATGAATGCCACTGAGTCATCTGCAAAGGACTCTGTTTTAAGAGAATCTCCTGATGGCAGCGGGAATCCTGGCACTTGCGGATCGGCTCTAATCATTGCRTGCATCACTTCTACGTAAATGAGGTACAAGTAGGGTGCCACTGGGCATCCCKGTCGCACTGACCGRCCCAAATGAATGGGAGTTGAGAGCTTSCCATTAWTTGTTAGTCTAGASRTGGCCCCTGTATGCAATGCACGCACYRCACGTCTAAATCRCTCCCCAAAACCAAACACTGTCATTGCTGCTTGGAGGAATTCCCACCCGACTCTATCATATGCCTTTTCTAAGTCGATCAGTAGTATYGCTGTATCAGACTCACCTGCAGAGACCAGTTCCATGATCTGTTCTACTGTCATGATATTAAACAGAATTTGTCTATCTTTCAAAAAACCGGTCTGAGATGCATGTATCAGAGAAGGCAGCACCGGTTGCATTCTGTGAGCCAGGATTTTAGAAAGAAGTTTATACATGACCGGCATCAACGTTATCGGTCTCCAATTTCTGACATCTGCTCTGTCGCCTTTCTTGTAGATAAATGACACCATTCCTGTGACCATTTCCGCCGGCGGAGTCGCCCCATCGAAAATAGACTGCAGTACCACAGTGAGCTCTGGCAGCAAGCGCATCTGATACTTCGTAAAAAACAGAAGAGGCAGGCCATCCTGACCAGGGACTTTGTGTGGCGGCAAGGCTGTTAATGCCTGTCGAACCTCTTCCATTTCTATTCGCCGATCCAGTTTCTGCGCCTGAGACGGGGACAACTTCGGTCCAATAGCTGCCCCCACTGTGTCCGCAAAGTCGTGCAACAGCTTTTGTTCCGTATGTTGTGCCTGTGACGCCCCATTGCCACGTTTTGCACAATAAGGCCACGTTTTGCACAATAAGGCCACGTTTTGCACAATGGCGGCCGTATCCATTGCCACTGGCTGATCGGCATCCCATGGATGACGCATGGAAAGCATGAGGGAAGAAGAGTTTTTCCGCGTATGGCCCCGAAAAAAGGCCGCGTTCATTCTGTCGCCTCTTATCAACCATGAGATTTTTTCCCGGTTTGCCGATTCTCTAAGCGCCGGTAATGTCAGCAATGTCGCTCGCTGTCTGAGCTCATCCAAGGCGCTCATCAAATCCTGTTCATTTACTGGCTCCATAGAGGCTGTAGCTATTATGCCCGCCATCTCCGTGTGTATCCCAGTCAGCTCTGATCGTCTGAGGCCTGTCAACATCTTTTGGAGCATTTTACCTCTTGCCAACACCGTCCTGAGGCCCCCAACCAACCAGGCAGCCGTACTCTGAAACAGATATCTAGAAGAAGCCCACTTGGGCCAGTATTCAGACATAAAATTTGCGAAATCTGGTGAAAGCACCACCCATTCTGGTAAAGAAATCCTATCATGGAACAGTCGCACAGTGAGATTGCGGTAGAGTTCCAAGAAAACCGGGAGATGATCGGATCCTATCTGTGGTAATACTGTACAGTCACTCACCTGCGGTATCAGTTCATCCGGCACAAAGAACAAATCTATTCTACTTCTTGGAAGGTATTGTTGCTGCTGTCCACCTGTCGCAAACCAAGTGTACGAACGGTCATATGGATGAAGCAATCTGTAGGCATCAGTGTACCCGTGGGTCTGCACAAAGTTGCCAAGTGGGCTGCATCAGAAGACAACGGCGTAATCCGAATAGAATCCACCCCTGGAAGTTGCACCGTATTCCAGTCCCCTCCCAGAATGAGCTTATCAACATTCGGGAGGAGCGACGACAAAGTCTTGAAAAGATCTATTCTGAGAGGCTGGTAAGCCGGGGCATATATATTGAAAATCACCCACTGTTCATCCCCATTTTGAAGCGGACCCACACCCAGCGCCCCATATGATCCCAATAGTAATCTGTTACTTGAAAAGGGAAGGTTCTGGCCAACAATATAGCTACTCCCCCACGAGTACCCTGCGCCGGGGCCCAATATTGGAGGCCAGACCACCAACCCATTTGCTCTGATATTGCTTCGTCATCCAACTTGGTCTCCTGCAGGAGTAGCATATGAATTCCTTTATTTCTAACTAATGTCTTGATAAGAGATCTCTTAACTGCTACTCTACGGGAACCCATTCCCCTCACATTCCAAGATGCTATTCGCAATTTGTCCATCTAATGTAATCATCGACTTTCAGTTGTCCCATGGTGTGCATTTCAATTTCCGGAAGTTGCTAGAGAACAGGCTTTTGTGCCAGGCCAGGTGGCCATCCACCTGATGAATGAGCGCCGCTGTCCAACAGTCGTATATCCTAGTGTCTGTGACCGTCTGTCCTATTGGGTTCTCCAACAATGCAAGTGGCAGCCACCTCATTTGTGGCAATGACGGCTGCTGTTTCACATCCGAATTTATTACTGCATCTATAACTGGAAAAAAGAGAAGGTCTGTTCTTCCTTGATCGGTCGTTGGAGTGAGACGCACCCACTCAACCCCTGGAAAACAACGTGTATGAAACGCAGGGGCAAGCCATTTGTTGACCTCCCTCAACACCACTGTCGGTTTGGGGTCTTCATACAAGAGAAAATGCGGAATGCACAGTTTGTTGTCGTTGGTCATCGCTGCAAGTATATGAAGATTTGCATCCTCCGCTTTTATCACCAACGGCACCACCACACACGGCTGGCCCGCAGCCATTGCCTGTAACACATTTGCTGGAAATGCCATGGCTTTTTGGAATTTCAGATCATCCAATTTGAGCGCAGCATCATCGTCCTCTTCGTCCAGCGCGTCTGCCCAGCTTTCTGATGTCTTACCTTCATTGTCCTGCTGCTGGTCCTTCTGGCGGCCATAGGGATGCGAGGCAGACACTGGACCACCGGCCACTGCCTTTCGTCTCTGCAGTGGTCCGGGGTTCTTCTGTGTGGGCATAGGCATCTCCGGTCCTGATCGAGGGTTTTCTCCAGCCTTGACTTCACCGCTCCCATCTCGCTGTATGGCAGCTGCCAAAGCTCCCCCCTCTGGCGTGCTTGCCTCAGGCCCTTTCCCTTGTGGAACAGCTGCTTCGGGTCCTTTCCCTTGTGGTGCAGCGCTCCCCCTTTCTGCTGAGGAGGTCGGGGTACCCCTCCCCCCGATGTCCCTCCTTCAGCCCCTTTCCCTTCACGCAGTCTCCCTTCAGGCCTGCCATCCCCCGGGCCGGGTGGTTTGTCTGAAGACGGTCCCGCTCCTTTTTTCGTGGCTTCGTTTTTGGGACACGCCTCTTCTCCCTCTCTATGCCCGTACCATCTACAGCGGGCACACCAAGGGGTACTCTGGGTCACCACTTCCAATTTATGCCATCCATCCGGCGTGCGAAATTTGAGGAATTTTTCAATCCTCTGTTTGGCATGCGGATGAAGGTCATATCTTCTGTTGAGGAGGCGTGGATCCGATTTGGATCGCTCTGGGGGATAATTTTTAAGCACCTGTCCGAACTCTTTTTTAACCGCTGCTTCGAAAAAAGGCAATGCCAGAAATGGCACCCTCAGCACCCTAATCCAGAATCTCGATGGTTGCACATCATCTCTCCCTGCTGCCAGCTCTTTCGGTGTTGCCCAGGGTCGGTAATTAACCTCGCATATTTTCCCTCCCACCATAGCATTTTTTTCAACTTTTAACGTGTCGATCATCCAATCCCTCAACGAGTGGTTCGGTGCCAGATAGGATATCCTGTTTGCTCCCTCCGGTCTAATCCTACCCTTGTGCCCCTGTGCTATAGCAAGGTCCCAACCTGACTCTACTGATCTCAGCCATGTTTCTTTTTGCGCAAAGGTGCCATCCGCGCCAGGCCCTGAGAACACAACCAGCACGGCGTGTCTTCGCAAGTATTCCACTGTGATTTTTGCCCCATGGGGATGAATATCCACCATGATTGTTTCCTTCTCCCGTGGATCCCGCGATGTGGTAATACATTGCTCAGCACAATCCGGGTCTTCCTCCCCCGTGAGGAAGCAGTTCCTCAGCATACTGGCCAACTTTTCGGCACCGGGTGGTTGTGCCATCTTGCGTTGCAATGGACTTGACTGTCACACTTATTTCCGATATTTGGGCGAGGAGAATCCAAGCTGTCGGCAGCGAAAACGGCGGTGGCAGTGAAAAACGGCAGCGGCAGACCAGGGCCAGGTCTGGCAAGAAGACAATTCCAGACCGCTCTATCCAAGTTGATCTACCATCCAAAATTATTCTGTAGAGGCTAACTAAAAATCCTTTGTTCGTAAAAGCCCAGAGTCCATATGCCCTTCAGAGTTCGAAAGGGTTGTCTTCAAAAATCCAAAATATTTTCTTCTCATCTATCTTACCGTAATTCCAACCTCTTGTCCCTGTTAACATTTCAGAATCCGGATGCGCCGATTATTCAATAGCAGATTCAAGAATTCAAGCTGTCGGCAGCGAAAAACTGCGGTGGCAGTGAAAAGCGGCAGCGGCACACCAGGGCCAGGTCTAGCGAGAAGACAATTAGCGAGAAGACAATTCCAGACCCCTCTATCCAGGTCAATCTACCATCCAAGATGATTCTCGCAAAAGCAAAAGTCATCGTAATGCCAACGCTCCTATCACTGTTAGCATTTCAGAATCCGGATGCGCCAATTATTCAGTAGCAGAACTCGAACCCTATTTTCAGCAAACGCTATTCCCTTGACACACTAGGCGAACGCCAGGCAATTAGGGTTCCAGCATCCTATTCTTGGCAAAAATAATTTCAAACTCACAAGAGAATGTCCAAGTTCTCTATCCAGCCTACGGGAACTCTGTTTTCCGTTTTGTCGATCAGATCATTCGGGAAGCAAATCCGAACGTCGATGCCTCAGCCTGCATTACCAAATCTGCACGTCGATGCCATACCCAGCATTCGTCACTCCAATCGTGGTTTTCACGGGTACTCACCTTGTCCGCAGTCTGTGAGAGTGCAGCAAAACACAAATCGAGAGCATCTCTCCCCACCAAATATTACAACGCGCCACTGGTCGCTCCTCGAAAGGGGAGCGAGACAACCCAGCGGCAGTTCCGTATCGAAGACCGAGGGGCGAAAAGCCCCCTGCCGGTTTCGTAAGGTATATTGGCGACGCCCAGATCCCGCCTTCAAGCCGTCCCCACCGCTCAACAACATTCCTTCCCGGACTTAGACAGGATTCCTGATGCAGTGTCAACCGAGATGAACATCGGCCAGGAGTCGATCAGACCCCTTTTGCGCGCCCCACTATGCGTCCTCACGCACCTCCCCGCGCCGCCATAGCCGTGCTCTCGCCAAGTTTTGGCAGTGGTGGTCAACTTTCGTCGTCAACCCGCACGCGATCCCCCAGCGCCCAGTTGGCTTTTTTTTTTTTTTCGTTTTTTTTTCTGTTATCAATTTTGTTTTTCGTTTTTTTTTTT